AATTGGAGAAAGTGTCAGATGTCTCAGACCATGAGACATTCTATGACCATGAGGATCTTATGCTAGTAAGGATCTTAGGTCAATAAGAAGCTTATGTTGATTAGGACAGTAAGATGAACAAAGACATTCTTACAACAGTAGGTGGGATGAGTTAAGCTGAAAAGGAATTTGTCCCTCCCCAGGTGCAACCTTTCTCTTACTACTCTGTTCTCAAGAAACCAGGATGTCTTCAGCCAATGTAATCTTGCCCTTGGTTGTCACAACATTCTGGGACCATGGAGGACTCAGCTGTGACCAGAGGCAAAAATGGAGTTATGTTTCAGCGTGTCATAGCCAGCCTATAGGCAAGAAGACTAAGTCTAATCATAATTTAGCTGTGAAATGATTCTTCCCCCAAATTATGTAGAATGGCTCCTGACAACTTTCTTTTTAAAGGTTTCACCTAAGCACATGCAAGTCCAGGTTCCACCAGCATGCTGGGGCAGCATGTGTCTGCCCAAGATTGTGGCATTTGGTTTAATCTTCAGAGCATTGAAATGGAGCTGCCTTTTGTTCCCCAGACCCAGGGCAGGAGACGGAAGAAGCATTTTCTGTTGCCTGTGGTTCATGAGAGAGGGAGGATGTTTTAAGTTATGGGGGGCACTCTCATGGTACTCAGTGTGAGATCCCATATAACTGGTGTGCCCATGTGTTCTTTAAAATATTTGTGTGTGTCTGTGACTTGCAGGTCTCCTAAGGCACAGGCCAAGACCAGAGTCCCTCTTGTCCTGATTTAATGTCAATGCTGCTCTTATTCCATGGGGTGAAATGGCAAATTTGGCTTTTCTAACCCAAACCTCATTGACTGTGATGAAGGCAGTGAGTGGAGAGGGAGGGGGAGGGCAGGTCAACTTTTTTGTTTTTCTGACAAAAATGAGTTTCACCAGCAGAATTGCATACTGTGTTCATTTTAATTGTTGTCTTGTGTGCTAATTTGGCTCTTACAATTCCCAGGACTTTAAAATACAGAATTAAGAACTGGCTGTGGTGGTGCAGGGCTATGACCCTAGCATTCAGCAGGCTGAGGCAGGAGGATCACTGTGAGGTCAAGGTTACCTTGGGGTATACAGTGAGTTCAAGGACAGTCTGAACTACCTAGTGAGATCCTGTCTCAAAAAAAAATAGAATTAAGTTTTTCATTCATTCATTCACTATGTATTTACCAACACCCTGTTTTCTGAGTGTCACTTGGAGAGGAAACAACTGAATGTCATTGTGAAGATCTCATAATGTAGAGATGTGAATGTGAATAATGACATTATTGTGAGCTGAGTACTTACATGTGTGTTTAAAATGCCTCAGGAGCACAAAGAATAGCTGCCCATGTCGTGTGGCATGGCCTAGAGAAGGCTTCAGAGATGGCAGAATACTGAGCTCCATTAAATACTAACTGAATGTCTGGCATGTTCCAGTATCTCTTTATGTACCATCACATTTACTTCACTGTAACTTTCAAAAGTAATCATTTATGCCCATTTTAAAGAGGAGAAAACTGAGGACCCAGAAGGTTAAGTAACTTGCTCCATGTCACACAGCTACTAAGTGGTAGTGCTAGAGCTGCAGATTTCAAATCTTCTACCTCCATAGTGGATGACTTGGCACTATGTTCTGATATTTAGAAAGTCTTCCCAGGTGAAAGAAACAGTAAGGAGCTGTTATGGTTTATACCTAAAAGGTTCTCTCAGCCTCATGTGTTTGGAAAGTGATTGGATCATGGGGGCACCAAACTCATCATTGGACTCACCTATTGATGAGCCTAGAAGCTGAATGTGCTGTTAACAGGTGGGGCCTGGTTGAAGATAGGTCACCAGGAGTGTGACCTGGATGGGTGTATTCTTGTCCCTGGCTCCTCCCTTCTCTCTCTGCTTCCTGGCCACCATAATATGAGCAGCTTTTCTCCACCAGGCCCTTCCCCCATGCCGTTTCTGTGTTGGAGCCAGCCTACCATGGACAGAACCCACTGAAACTGTGAGCCAAAACAAACCTCTCCTCCAAGGTGTTTTCCCCCGGCAAGTAGAAAGTGATCAACGCAGGATCACTTAAGCAAGAGCAGCAGCACTCAATTCAATGACTGAGGTGTAAATTAAAATGGTAAAACTAAGCATGTGGGACTATTCATAAAGATGAAGTACCGCCTGCCTCGAAGCGCAAGGTCCCAAGTTCTATCCCCGGTACCAAAAAACCAAACCAAACCAAAACAAAAAAGATGAAGTCACATCAACAGTTAATTACAACCACATGGTTGAAGTAAGTTAAGAGTTCTGTGCACATCCTTTACCTAGCCAATCAATAATCTCTTAACTAGTCCAACTTCTTGGTAGTATTTGAATTTTCCGCATGGAGATAAAACAGCCCTACTCTTTTGGAAACATTGTTAGGGAAGGTGCTGTAATTGAGCTACAGGTGTTCCTGATAACCTCTCTGTAGACTTTGCTGAGCTGATTTAATCTTGAAGTAGGTTTTCCAGATGTTTCCCAGTATGCAGTTTGCAATGTGAGTCCTTGTCTTTGGCTCTGAATTGGGGGTCACTTGGATTCTCTATATAGAATTATCAGTGCTGGAGTCTGGCTTAAGATGAGAAAAACAAAGGGCCAGGGATTTAGCTCAGTGTTTCTGCTGCCTGCCTCGCAAACCGCAAGATTCCAAGTTCTATCTCGGGTACCAAAAAAAAAAAAAAGTAGAATTTCCGAAGACATCGGTATAGGAAAAGATTTTATGAACAAAACCTCAGTTGCCCGTGAACTAGCACAAACAATCAACAAATGGGATCTCTTCT